TCATTTCCATGGGAAGTTGATGCTGTTAACAGCTAGATGCTGTCAATAGAGGAGAACAAACAACAGGATATGAGAGAGAGAGTTTCTCAGTTATATCCGCTTATTTCATAACTTTGTATGTCCAGGTTTAGCCCATTATTCTTTCCAACTGTAATAAAAGAAGATCATTCTTCATTCCTACCTACTACAGGTTGCTTCCAAATACCTTATGCTATAGATTTTACCCCTTCCTGAATTTTCTGGAACATTGCACTATCAGTTATTCGCTCTCACTCTAAACTTTAGGATGATTCCCATTAACTTTTTTTAAAAGAGATTTTTGCTATAGTGTGCATGCGCTTGCTGGACAGAAAGAGACAGCAAGCAAGAAATCACCCTCCACTCATGGGGGATGGCCTTGCCACAATCCCTTCTCTATTATCTTCTTGGGATGTTTGGCACATTCGCACATATGCCTGGTGTGAGTTTCAAGCTGTCAGGTCCAGGACTTGAACTGCAGTCAACCATGTGGGATTCCAGTGCCTTCACCGGTACATCACATGCTGGCTCCTCCCATTCATTTTTATATAGTGTCTAGCCTCTTCTGTTGACAATTAAGATTAAAAATAAATATTTCTAGACTCTTTTTCTAATTTCTGAAGGTAAATTTATTGAAAATGTTTCTCATTACTGCTCTACTCCCTTACTTATCCTCCTCTCAGTCTATATTATACTCACTTTAGTTTACCTTAGGCAAATTAATGTGTTACATTTCTTTTAATGAAATGGACATATTTCAGTCTAGTTTTTACTTGATTTCTCAGTGGTGCTGAAATCTTGAAACCAGCCAGATACTTCCTCTTCACATGACTTTTCTAGCAAACTGCTCTCTGACATTCCTCCCACCTCTGAATTTCCTCCTTTTAAATATCTTTTGTAGGCTCCTTCCTCACTGATGGTCATGAATTTGGGAATTTATAAAGGTTTGAGCCTGGGTCCTTTCCTCAAGCTACACTCTCTTAGCAGTCTGTTTGTAGATAGCCTACACATTGTCATCTTCAACCCATACTTTGCCTCCGGGTGTCAGACTGTAGAGTCTTTTGTGCTTTCAGAAGATAATTATAACATGGAGAAACTTCTTGCTAGAGTAACTGTTATTTTTAAAAGTAAGCAGATAAAAATAAATAATTCTTACTGAAATTAGTAGTGAACAGTAGTCAGTTGTCATGTAAGTATACATATGATAGTCAATGTTTGCATGATGAAAACATTAATGAAAATATGGTAATGAATAAACTTTCCAAAAAGCAAATCAGGGGGCCAGCAGGCAACGTGGTAGTTGAGGTGCTGGTCTCCCACATGGATGACTATAGTTTGAATCCTGCACCTGGTGTCTCTCTCTCTCTCTCTGTCTCTCTGTCTCTCTCTTTCTCTCGAGTGCACATGCCCTATAGCAAAATTTTAAAAATGATAATAATATTCCTAAGAGGAGAATGGAGGAGAAGGGATTGCAGCATGACCATCTCCTAGGGGAGGGGGGAGGGGGATGAGGAGGTGATTTCTCACTTTCTCTCTCTCTATCTCTCTGATGACTGCATGTGCCCTATAGCAAAAATCTTTCTAAAAATAAATAATACAAAAAAATTAATTCTTTTTAGAAAAGGCAAATGAGAAAATTATCTGTCACCTTTTTAATAAACATCAATGGCTTTAATTGCTTTTGTAATCAAGACCAAAATCCTTAACATGATCTATAATATGTAACCTCCACAGCATAATCTGGCCTGATGCTTCCCTAGCTCAGTGCTCCTCCTGGCTCACTGGTCTTTCAGCTACTAGAACATGCTACAGGGTCTTTGCTCGCTCTCTGAGCCTGGAGTGCCGTCTCCCCTTCCCCACCACTGCCTAGAGAAGTCCTATCGTTCCTTCAGCTTTCAGATTAATCATTGCTTCCTTAATGAAGCCTCTGATCTTCACACAATCAAATCCTTCTATTCCATCTCTGTTTACCTCTTCTTCATAATTCTTATCACTCTTTGATTTTACATTATTTCATTATTGCCTGGTTAATGGTAATAGATTTTATGAGACCTGGGATTTTGTCTTTTTTGCTGACAAGTTTATTAATTAGACCCTGGCCTAGAGTAGGCCCTTGTTATTCACTCATAGAATGAGTAAGTAGAAGGGAGAATAAATGGAAGGTCCCAAATTTCCTCTCTTTAAATCATAAAGCATTTTGGATTATGACTGAAGCTTTGGGAGTAATTCTGTGAATGTTGATTGATTCTTATGACTATTAAGGAATCTTAATAATGTTCATTCTTTTGCATTATTTTTTAAATGGTTGTATTTATATGTATATTTCTCTTTAATTCAATCGGTTATTCAAGAGGGTCTGTCCAAATTTTGGAATGATTGTAGGATTATCCTTCAAACTTCATTCAGTTCTAATCTTATTATATATTTTTCTGAAACATATTTGTTTATATTATAAATGAGTCTTAGAGATTTTTTCTTACGCTGTATCTTCGGGTTAATAACATTTATTTTACGGTGCATTATATTCATTTGAAATGTGCAGATATGTCCTGTTTGCTTTTGCTTTTTAAAGAGAACATCTCTGCAAAATCGATCATTTCTAATAGCAGATATGTAGATTGCCCTGGATACTTTCTGACCCCGATCATGAAATAGTATTCTTTTTATTTTATTCAAAGGGCTTGTTAGAGTAATCTGCCACTTTGCATACACATTCATGGAAGAAGAATTTAGGAGCACTCAGTGATTATTCCCACCCATTTAGTGACCTGAGCAGTGGGAGCTGTGACCAGTCTTCAAGGGCAGGGAATGTGCTCCAGCCATCAGCAAGAAATAGGATAGGCACAGAGGGCAGGGAATGTGCTCCGGCCTTCAGCAAGAAGTAGGATAGGCACATAGGGCACCTCATTACTTCAGACAAGTCTGCAACTTCAGGCTGAGTAGCAGGAGACTCAGGAACTGGAGCAGTCTATTCCCCTCAAATTCTTCGTTGGTGAGGTTTTTTTTTTTTTTTAATTGCCAAAGAGGGTGTGTGAGAGATAGAGAACCCCTCAGTGGGGCATGGTCACAATGCAATATGCTTTCCTCTATTTATCTATCCTATCAGGATTTACGGTGCACCTGCACATATATCAGATGTGCTTTCTAGCCCAGAAAAACTGGGACCAGGATTTGAATCATGGTAAGCCATGTGGAATCCAGCTTTTCATGCACAGCACTTAACTGTTGTGCTATAGGCTGGCCTGGTCACAGTTTTTATTCAACAGCAGCTTGCTCTTCCTTTTCAATTTCTTCAGGGTCTCTGTAGAAATAGAGACCAGGCATGGCCTCTCATGAATGTTCACAGAGTTGGTGCCACACATGCACAGAATGTCCGGGGCCAATGTCCACTGAGTGAGCTCCAGTGTTGTTGCAACAAGAGTGTTGCAACAAGAGTGAGCTCCAGTGTTGTTGCAAGTGGAGTGGCAACGTCCTCATAGCACAGAGGAGAGTCTGTGATGTCCAGAAAAAATGGATCAGTAACCATCAGAAGACATGGCTCCAACAAAGTTGCCTGCATCTGGTTAGCGGAGGTTCCAGGAACGAAGTGGCCAGCCACAGGAGTGGGTCCAGGATAGCAGCACACGTGAACATTGCATTTGCAGAGGATACAGCAGTGACATAAGTAGGGTTTTCAATGGCATGAGCTGCTGGCAGAAGATTCTCCAGGTCCTCTTCAGATCTGTGATGTAGATGCCATCACTTTTCCTTTTGTAGATGTACTGCTCCAAGGGAAGTCAAGGTTGGTGGCACCCAAGTGGATTCCTGCTACAAGGAATTTGAGGACATCCTCCTTCATTTGCAGGACATCAGGGCTCTGGACATTGTGAAAGTTCCTCTTTAAGTTATAGTGGAAATCCAAAATACCACCACATGGACTGCTCTGTGGGTAGTATGGGAAACCCTTGTGTATATTATCATATGATGTTCCTGGGGAAGGGAACAGGAAAAATAAAAGTATTGAGAAGGATCTGTTAGAGCTGGCACCCGTCACATCAGAGGCGCTCAAATATCCGTTGGATGAACAATTAGTTTTGTTTTCAGTAATTTTTAATAGAGATTTAGTAAACATTCCTTATAGGAGTCGAAAATCAGGTTTTTTTTTTTTTTCTTCGTGTGTGTGTAGGGTTTTTTTTTTTTTTTAAATAAATTTCCTTGGGACCAGCAGTTGGCATAATGGCTATGTTGCTGGACTCCAATGTAGTCAACTGTGGTTCGAGTCCCAGACCCGGTGGCTTAAACTCACACCGGGCGTGTATGCGTGCGTGCCCAAGATCCTGAGAGGAGAACGGAGGAGAAAGGATTGTGGCGTGGCCATCTCCCCTGGGGGGTGATTTCTCACTTTCTGTGTCTCTGTCTCTCTCTGTCTTTCTGGCTAGCGCACATGCCCTATAGCAAAAACTTCTCAAGAAAATTTATTTTCTCTTTTCACTTTTGTTGATGTGTTTAATGGTGAAGATAAATGAACTTTATCTTGTTACTGCAAATTCAAAGTGCTAAAATAATATTGGGAAGATGGTATCCATTTAACACATATTCACTGAAAGGATAAATGTTGAGAGAAGGCCCTTTGGAAAATCAGTATCTGTCTTCTTTGGGAGCAAAATTTATTTTGAGAATAAAAATTATTTGATACTAATACATGTAAAACATATGTATTGAGTTTTAAAAATCAGTTTGGGGTTTCACTAAAGATTTTGATCTTTCTCAAATGCGGATGACATTTGGCAAACGTTACACACTCTTTAATTAAGCTCATGACTTGTAATGTTTTTACATTTTAAAAGATATTAATCCCTGGAATCCAAACATGTAAGATATTAATGGATAATGTTGGTATCTTAGTTTACGTTAATGAGTTCATTATGGATTTATACAAAATAATTTTTAAAATGTTATGAATGATATAATTAAAAAACTATTTTTTGTTTGAATCTCCACAGCTCAGTCCATTTTTAAGACATTCTGTTCTGAAGGGGACATTTAATGTCACTCTACAAAATCCTTTCCTGATTGACAGAGAAAACACTCCTACTATAGAGCAAAAAGCCAAACAAAACCACCCAGGAATCAAAATAGAATCTTCTAAATGGTGAGTGTGCCTGTCCTTACTGAATTGTGGTTGCTACCTTTTTACAACCTGTGAATTAACTGTCACACAGATAATTTTTTTTAATCCTCAAAGCAGTATATTTACATTCCTTTTCTAGAGGTTGGTTGTGTTTATGGCCCAGGGAGTAATTAACAGGTTATAGTAGAGAATAGTTATCATGCTTCTAGAAATAAGTTTTAATGATGTCACGAATAGCATTACACAGGCATCTTCACATGTTTATAAAATCTGTGATTCATTTGCCTTTAATGGCAGGAAAGAAGAGTTACCTTAATGAAATATAGAGTATAGCTTTTTAATTAGTCTTTTTTAGTACAAAGAAATAATAAAATAATGTTAGGCTTTGGTCAGTTATTGTGTGATTGCATGTCATTATAGCACTTTAACATTTTTTAGCCAAATTGTGTGATCAAGCAAGTTGGGACAAAGAATAGGTATTGTCATAAAAAGGGTTAATAGACATTGAACTATGGGTTAGATGATGATTATATAACAATTACCATGACAATGGTCTTGACTTTAATTTTTTGTGAGATTGTGTTGGATTTGAGCGGTTCCATGTTATTGTATTCCAGACAAAGATTCCTTTCCATTGTCATGTTTATACCATTAAATGGCATTGCATTTCAGGAATCTACTGAGATCAGGTTAATTACTAAACAAAAACAAAAAAACTCTACTGGAGTAATGAAATACAAATTATAATGTATGACACATAATAAAACTACTATTTGAGTTGTAGACCAGATTCATATAGATGCTTCAGTCAGTTATCATCTTTAATGGTACTGGCTACACGTGAAGTGTGGGCATTTGAGATGTGGCTACTTCAAATTGAAATGTGCTCTAACTCTAAAAATGTACACCAGATTTTGAAGAGTTTCACCCAAAAAGGTGTGAAATATTTTATTAATAATATCTTTATTACATGTTGAAATATTTCAGATACACTAGGATAAATAAAAAATACTATTATGATTCTTTTCACCCATTTCTTTTTACTTTTTGTTATGATTATTAAAAAATGTAAAATTACCTTTCTAGCTCAGGTAATATTTTTTTATTGGGTAGTGCTGGTCTAGAATTTCCAAATTTTGAAATAGCAAGTTCACTGCAAATTGTGTCGAAAAGCAATGTCTACAAGAATGTCCTAATTTTAATGCCATTTCCCATATTTTTGCTTCTATTATATATTTTGTTATGATAGAAATAGCTTATTAGCTTTGCTTGTAATCTTTATTAGTTATTATTATGAAGTACTTTATTTATAATGCAAACATTAAAACTATTTTACCTTCTTGTCATAAATTTCAATTCTATGTCTATTGACTCTGTAAGAGGTCATTATTATCATTTCTTATATTTATTTTGACTTGCCTACATATTTATCAGTCCCATTGTTCTTCAGTTCTTTTATTTCTGTGTATCTCTTTGGGATCATCATTTCTCTAATGAACTTCTTTTAATATGTAAATTTGTGCTGGTTTGCTTTGATAAATTCTGTTATCATTTGTTTGAAAATATCTAAATTTTATTTGCTTTTTAGAAGGATATTTTTGCTGGATAAAGAATTCCAGGCTGGCACTTATTTTCACTCTATGTTCCCAGATTCTCCTTCCTCCTGCCTCAGTCCTCCTTGGTGTGTGCTAATGTCCTGAATTGTGTGGGTTGATGTCTTTTTACCAGTTGATAAAACTTCTTACCTACTATGTTTTTCAAAAATTGCTTTTATTGGGACCAGCAGTTAGTGTAATGGCTATGTTGCTGGAATCCCATGTAGTCGACCACGGTTCAAATCCCGGACCCGGTGGCTTAAACTCACACTGGGCGTGTGTGCATGCGTGTGTGCGTGCCCAAGATCTCGAGAGGAGAATGGAGAAGGGATTACGGCATGACCATCCCCCCTGGGGGGTGATTTCTCGCTTTCTCTCTCTCTCTCTGTCTTGCTGGTGAACGCACGCACCCGGTAGCAAGAACCTCTCCAAAAAAATAAAATTGCTTTTATTTAAAAAATGTAGTTAAAACATTAAATCTTTTTGCTGTATCTCATGTGTCTTATACTTTTATAAATTATGGATTCATTTTTTTTCTTTTTGTACTTCAGCCTGTATATTTTATATTTTCTAACAATTCTTTTTCCATTTCCCTAATTTTGTCTTCAACTGTCTAGTCTGAAGTCAAGCACATGTATTGGATTCTTAATTAAAGCTATTAAATGTTCAATTATGTAATCTCCACCTGGTTACTACTTATAAATTCCAGTTACATGGTGATTTTCTCAATCTTGTCAATTTTGTTAAGCATTTTACTTCATAGTATTTTAAAGTCCCTAATAGATGATTCCAACTCTGATTCATCTTTGGGTCTGTTTATATTATCTATTTATTATCTTATTTTTTCTTTTGATTTTATCTCCTGGCATGCCTAATTGCCGGGGTCTGGCCTCGGCAGTGGTGGGTGGTTTGTACAAAGGAAGGCGACATGGGTGATTAGGAACAGAAATTAGACTGAGACCTCATTGCTCCTTAGAATATTCTCAGCCGGCCACAGCCAGAGCCAGCTCCAGGCTGCCACGTCGTGGCTATTAAAACATGCGTATTTATTGAGGGAGGTTTAGGAAGTAAGGAGGGTGAGGGGTAGTAAAAAATTTACTCTAAGGAACAGGGTATACAAAGCATGGAAGCAATAATTATAAAACATGCTGTTTGTCTTGTCAGATCAGGTAAAATCAATCACAGTTCTCAGGATGAGGAAGTCCATTTGTCTGCTGTATCTTCTTCTTAGATCTTGATTACTGGGAAGGGTCTTTTGAAGAGGGGGCTTGCAGGATGTTTGATAACTTCAGTCCCAGGCCAGGGCGATAACGTTGCTGGTTGCAAAGACCTAGATAGAAATCTTGTCTTGTTAAATAAAGACACAGTTAATATATGGACTATCTATACATTACAACAATAGAGGGTGAGTCTATGATCTTATATGGGAAAGGAAGATGATCTTGTAGCTCAGGAGACAACACAGGATGTTCTATTAGCAGTTTTTCATGGTCAACAGCACATAGATGAGAAACTCTTTGTAGCTGAAAACTACCTGTTGCTTTAGATAAGAGCTCCCAGCTAAAATGGTTAATCTGTGGAGCCCTCAGCTTTGTACTAGCCTTAAACTAACTTAGTCTACATATGTTACTAACGCTAATTTGGCTTATACTAATTTGACTTAACAAATGTTAATTTTGGCTTAAAATAGATAGGTGGGAGAGTCTCATATATCCTGGCCCTCCTCTTAGGGAACCACATTCTTTTTTTTTTTGAGAGATTTTCACTATAGGGCGCGTGCGCTCGCCAGACAGACAGAGAGAGACATTAGAGACAGAAAGCGAGAAATCACCCCCCAGGGGGGATGGTCACGCCGCAATCCCTTCTCCTCCATTCTCCTCTCGGGATCTTGGGCACACACGCACACGCGCCCGGCGTGAGTTTTAAGCCACCGGGTCCGGGACGCGAACCACGGTCGACTACGTGGGAGTCCAGCGACATAGCCATTACGCTAACTGCTGGTTCCCGAACCACATTCTTATAAGATCACTAATTGGCTTTATTGTAATGGTTGGGGGTGATATCTTACTCTTGCAGGGTACCGTAATAACAGTAAAACTCAGGGCAGAGAAATTAACTACAGGCCAGTAAACGACACGAGGAAGGGCTCGTAAACTGGGCCCTGTCTCAGTTTCTTCCCAGTCCAGGCCTTGCCTTAGAATGGGAGACAGCCTCCTTACCAGCTTGTGTTGTCTGCATGGCCCCGTCACCTAGTAAGTTTGATCAAAGGCTGGACATTGTGTATGAAGAATTGTAGAGAGAATGTAATGCTTTGTTTCGTATTGCCTACCCCTAGACAGAATATTCTTTTGCTTTCTCTCAGGTATCTTAAGTATGAGGCAGATCCATTGTTCCAGTGTGGGGTTGTGCTTGTTCAGAGCTGTGTTTCATACTTTTGAAAGAGTTGATATAATTCTTATCACCTGTGTTTCTAGGTGTCACCTTTCTGTGATCGGAGCAGGAAGTTAATGATATTCACTAGAGTTGTCCTCTATTTTTCCCCTCCACCCTGAGAAACTGACAAATATTCTGTGCATGTGTCCAAATCTGTAGCTGCCTTTTTAAAACTTTTTTTTTTTTTCTC